CGGGACGCGGGTCCCCCAGGGCCGCTTTTCTCCGCTCCCAGCCGGGGCGTGGAAACAGGAGGCGAACCGGGAAACAACCGACTGCTGAGAAAAGCCGCTGCACATGTCTGAATGAGAGGTTATTCGGGCCGAAAGCCCAGCGCCGAGGTCCGCCGTTACGGGCGGTTCAGGTTCCCTCGGGTGTCCCTCGGCGTTGGCGAGCAGGGCCACGGGGCCAGGCCGGGTTCTGGCTTTTAGTCAGCTTCAGGCTCCCAGCAGATGTTTGGATTACCGAAAGGGCCGGCAGTATTTAAAAACAGCTGTTGTTTTGAATATTAAAAATGTTGCTGAAGTGGGTCACTGTTCCTCGAATGCTCCAGGGAAGCAGTTTATGCAAATACAGGTTTCCCTCCCTCTCTTTTTGAATAACAAAAATAAAGTGGTAATGCTTTACCAGGTTCTGAAATGAGTAGGAGCGTTTCTTGCAGCAGAACACGGCATGAGAAGAGTGTGAAGAGATGAGCGTTTTGTCGAAGCTTTTGATGAGTTCAGAACTGCAGGGAATCTCTCACGGAGAAGGCAGGCGGACAGTCTGTGTGCTCGTTTGGACTGAAATATAACAGCTGTGCTCTTAAATGCAGATATCTCTCCTGGGGGAAAAAAAGAAAAAAACAACAGAGTTAACACAGCCTGTCTGAAAAAAGATACATTCCCTGTTGTCATCAAATATGCTTGTTAGCAGTGGAACTCACAAGGACAAGTTTCCCATAGCTTTATGTCTCGTATTTGGAATATTTTGTGCCTGATAGGGTACAAGCTCTGATCAAAGCTTGTCTTGTCAGGGAAAGGCTTGCAACATTCCTTTCATCTCTGAATTCTTCAGTATACAGCAACACAGGTGAGTTCCTGTTGCTGTCCTTCCCTTAAGAGACTAGCAAATGTGAATCTCCCTCTCTGCCTGTTTTCCCCAAACTCATGTCAACATAATATTCCCGAGACCTCCAACTGTCTTTTAGGTTCAGTCAAAATTGCCAGTCAGTCTCAGTGGGTCTTTTTGCTCCTACTTTGATAGCAGCACCAGCGTAGCACTGTGCATTTCAATTTCCTCAAGCAGGCAATGCGAGACAGAGACACAGAAGCTGTCTCTATTCGACACACCAGAGACAAATGAGGTCTGTGGCATCCTAGAGTGACCAAACAATCAGTTCCAAATTGGTTATGGTTTTCCTGCTCTTGTGTTTTTTTCAGCAAGCATCTGAATCACCAGCTCTTGCAGGTTGTTACCGCAGTTTGCTACTTCCTCCTTGCCCCAGGAGGACCACAGCAGGGTACCACAAACCTACTTAATTTATGCTGATGTCTTAATTCCTGCTTGCCAACGCACATGCTGTTTCCTCATACAATTGGAAAAAATATTGACCAATTTTTTAATTTGAACCACGCTATGCAGTTCACATGATACTGTAGTCAGTAAATCCTGTGACAGGACTATTCGAAAGCTGCAATCCTGTAACTAGAGATTCCAGTGTCAGGTTTGGGAAGATCCATGTCTGTGCCCTCGCCCAGGAGCTTCCACACAGCAAGGGCATTGCGAGGTGTGGAAGGCAGAGCTCCAGTCAAGGCTAGAATCTGAGCTTCCATTGCTAGGACAGAAGGAAGAGGGGGGAAAAAAAATAACCCTAGATGTTGGGCAGGGTATATGAAGGGACTTCTTCTTCAAGACTAAGAGGAAGTCTGTTTATGAACATCTGTTAATGGATGTCCTATTGTTCTTGCCTGGTCACCAAGCTGAGGAGCCAGAGCCACCGCTCCATCTGCACCCATCTGAACCTTCTGGCTGGTTCCAGTCCAAAGCTCTTTTTTGGAATCCTAAATCTGCCTCAGTACAATAAAATTGTATTCATCCTTCAATATTATATCTAAAGAACGTTTTGCAGTAAGGACTTCTTAGTATTCTAAGTACTCTGACAATCACTTTGCATAATTATAGAAGTTTACATAGCAAGTTCTCTGGATCGCAAGCCAATTCACTTGCTGGATAAGTTGCTGCCAAGAAATCCAGAGTGAAAGAGTATACAGGGACTCTGTCACGTGATGGTATCCCCTAGCACAGACCCCAAATTCCCTCTTGCAAGAAAAAGCATATATATGATAAATCAGTGATAAAAAAAAGCAGAACAATTCCTTCCTTGTCATAACAAAAGACAAATGAAAACCTACATAAGCAAGCAATGTGTGATTTATGGCTAACATAACTGGATTATGTATTTCTAGCCAAAACATTCCGTAACTCCATAAGTACATTGCAGAACTATCACTTTTTTTTTTAAATCAAAAGGATGTTTTTCACCTAAGTTACAAACTTAGTTTACTATCATGATTATTGTCATAGGAAGGGAATTTGCACTGAGCTGTAGGTAATTTCCTTGGTCTGGGGACACCTCCGAGCAATATAACTTGCTGCTGGCTCAGGCACACCTCCCACAAACTCTGAGGACGGATGCTCCAGGAGTCCCAATTCAGACAGGCACAACAGCGCCAAAAGGCCGTACCCAGGTGTGTGTGTCCCTGCTGGGGTAGCACTCACCCATCCGCAGGACCTCCAGGGCCATCCCACCCCTGCTCCACGCTGCAGCGAGGAGAGCTGCAGTACAGCTCTTTCCCAGGGCTTTGTGGGACAGTTTATTTGCCCCTCTGAGCTCTCGGAGAAGTTGTGGGGAGGCATTAGAGGATACGCAGCACTGCAGCGTTGAGTCTGTTTCCTCTCAGTGTCAGGTGAAAGAGTCGTGTGAAAGGAGGACTCAGATCCCGCTGCTGCCTGTAGGGAAGCCAGGTGGCCAGGTTGAAGGCTTTACTCCTCAGGTGAGAAGGTTTGGTGTGGATAGAAGGGGCAGTGACTAAGGAAACACTCAGTATGATTCAGCTGAAAAGAATCTGTGTGACAGCAGCACATGCTTACTTCCTGGGGTTAAGGGTGTAAGGTACTTATGTGATGGTAGTTATAAGAATATATAGAGTAGATTAAAATATGAGTTCCTTTTGCTTTACAAAAAAATCCCACTCCTTTAGAAGATTAACATATTAGTCCTTTTCAGGGGCCCAAGTGGCTGCATATCCCTCAGAGGGAGAAAACCCAGACACAAGTTGCACACAAATGCATTTTATTGCTCTCTACAAACACAGAGACGCATACATAGTATGCATGGAAGCCATACGGCTGTCCCAGTAGTGGGAGAAACACTATCCACCATGAATTAAACCACTCAATACAAACAAAAATCATTATTATAATGAAAATGCTCGAAAAAGCATAACTTACACCCAAAATGTATAACATTGACAAATCAAGCCTTTTACCTACTACCTTTTCTTTAACATAAAGCAGTAACATACTCTTTTTCTAAATCGAAAAAAGCAGAAAAATAGTAGAAATATTCCACGTAGTTTCCTAGCTTCTGTTCATCCATCACACTGTACATACTAGGACTATGAAAGGGTCATTGGGGAAAAATCCAGAACAAAACAAAAACCATCTTTGATGCTGTACAAGTTACCAGCAAACAGAGGGAAATGAATTTTAATCAAGTGTGCATGAACTAAAGGGTAGAAAATTCATCCTCCGGAGTGACTGGGCAAACGAGTTGCTAGTCAAGCCAGAGCAAAGCTGATGGCTCTTACAAGCAATATTAGAGAAATCTCTCCTACAGCAATTCTTGTCCGTCACAACTGTAACATTTACAAAAATGCCCTCCTCCATTTTGAAGACATTTGCCCCCTGACGGGGCAGCATGCTGTGTACTGTTATCACCAGCATTTACACAGCTTCGATACCACTCAACAGAATGCCTAAACTTTTGCCAAAGGATCGCATAAAAGTCAAAGTATGCCATTCTTTTCACACATAAATAAAATACACGGGGAAATAAAATTCCCTACAGAAGAGAGGATAAGAGCTGGACTATCAGCTGCAGTCAGCTCCTTCCTCTAGACTGTAAAAGGCAAAGGTCCGCAAAGTAAGGACTCCCCTGACTACCAGGGCCTCCAGAGAGTATGGGTGTCTTTCGGAGATGTTTGCTTCAGGGTGCTGGGCTTCCCAGGGGAAAAGGCAGCCTCCATAGCAGCTGACTGGCTTTTCTGGAAGTGGCTTAGAAGTTTGGCCTGTGTTTCAGTTCGGACTTTATGAAGAGAGAGGAAATGGAAAGCTTCTTGCAAACACCTGGAATAGCCCTCTCTGAAGTCAAACTGAGAGCTTTTATGGAAGGATCCTGCAGCTAGAGAAGGGGAGAAAAGAGGGAAGGGGAAGAAAGAATAGTTTAGAGCAATTGTTCATGGCTAAAGATTCATAAAACTGTCACAGATTTGCAGTAAGCTAGAGACTAAAGTAAAACTCAATACTCACTCTTCATCTGCAGCTGGCTCTGCTGTTTCAGGTAGCTGACAGTCATCTCCAGGATGTCGGCTTTCTCCAGCTTGGAGTTGGGCTGGTGTCTCTGAAACTCCTTCTCTAGGAGCATTTTCAGCTGCTCGATGCTGCTGTTAATCCGGTCACGGCGCATTTTCTCCACCACCGGCTTCCTCAGCTGCAAAAAGTAAAGGAACAGAGATCTGTTATTAGAAGGATCTTTTTTCTGCCATTTCACAGGACTGGTTGTTGCCCATCACTGTTTCTAAACAATGTGGACCTGTTTCTCAGCTAGTGTACACTGCTATGAGAACAGCTGAGAGCATGGCTCGAAGCTGCCTTGCTTTGCCTAGACTTACTTTGTTTTTCTCCTTCGGTGTCAGCAGGTTGTCGGGCTCCATGAAAACAGTGCTGGGAGCCATCTGTCCGGAGAAAACAAGGAAGGTCTCGGAGTGGAAGTCCAGGAGAAATATGTTGCTGAAAGCTGCCTCTGCCCGATATTTATACTGTGCAGCCTCACTGCGAGTCTGTGGGTCTTCGGCTTGGTGGAGTTTCCCACACTCCAGAGCCAATCAGGGAGACAGGCAGCACAATAGGAGAAGCATCTATTCTTGCATGCTCCGTTGCCAGTGAATAGCCTGGGGATAATGACCTTCTCCCAGATGAGCAGGTGGGGAGTGTGTGGTACATGAAAGGCTGGGATCAGAATTACATGTCAGAAGCTGGGAAAGAGCTGGCCTTCAATGGGAAAAGGCTGCTGACTAATGCCGCAGATCAATAGCATTCCAGACGCAGCCTTGGGTTCACATGTGTGGAGGAAGGAGGAGGTCAGCTGCCGATGGCGGGAAGTAAACTACTGCCCTACTGCCAGAGCTGCTGCGTGGGGCTGCAGTCCTCTCTGGGGACACACGGAGGCACACGCTTAAGCGTGCACAAATGCACACGCACACATGGGCAGTTTCTGGCTTTCTGAGATAAAGAGCAGAATTTCTTTAAATCCACTCGCTTTCTCTCCTCCATAAGCCAGAGCCAGTTGTGCTCCCTCAGGCAGCTGTGACACCAGTTTTGCCCATGTGAGACAGAAAACAGCTTTTCCAGTTTGGCTTACTGCAAATAAATACATTTAGTTGTAAGTACACACAGTTATTGAAAATGTTTTCTCTTTTGATCTTTGCTCTCTTTCCTCAATATCTTATGCACCTCTTTAGAGCACTCTCAAGCCATGTCACAAGCACTTTATGTTTCTGTTTTCAAATACCTGCAAGATAAATCCATGAGGAGAAGGATCTCGGAGACTGTTTTGGGATCGGTTCAGTCTCACATGCTGCTTTTTCACTCCCTCCCCAAAATGCGTTTTACTCTAATTGTATTAATTGTGCACAAAGGAAAATTGAGTGCAGAAGACATTCATATAGCCCATAAAATTAGAAACTGAACTCCTGATTCCTCCTCCTCCACTGGGACAGTTTCTCCACACAGGCAGAGATTCATGTTGGAAAACTTGAGCCAGATCTGCCAGCATTTATCCTGCCTTCTGCTGATCCAAGTACTACTTTCTTCTGTGAGCTCTAACCTCACATGAACAGCTGAAGAAGGCAATGGCAGCAGAGTGTTTTCTGCACCCTCTGGATGTGCACCGTGGAGTGTGTGGAGCAAGGCTGACAGTGAAGTTGCTCTGTGATACCACAAGAAGGGTGAAGCAGGCTGGCAGCAGTGTTAACCACACATTTAGAACCATACGTTTGGGACCCAGATTTACTCCAAATGTGCTCTGTGACCTTATCAGTTCAATGCACTTCTCTGTGAGCATCAGCATCTCCCTCTATAAGGTTCAATACAGGAATAATAATGATCAGATAAATTACTGTCAAGTAATGTTAGGGTTTATGTTTGGGGATATCTTACTGTAGTTAGTAAATACTATTTGTGTTTACATTAATATATGTGTTCGTGTCTCTAGTAATATATATGTGTGTGGTCATGCATGTCTTTTAATGTGAATACATGCACACACGGACACTTTTCTCTCTCACTCTACAACTCATTATTTGTAAGACCAGGTAAGGCTTAAATGACCTCTTCCAGGATCTGCTTTTCCATCCCTATTGTATTGCCCTTGAATAGGCTCCCTTCTTTTCGTACAGAGCAGCAGCTGTTGAGCTCTGAGTCTTTTATGTCAAGTTGTGGGAAAGCTTTTGTGACACCATTTCACATGTTCTCCTCAAAGCTTGTGGATTATCTTTGAGCCCATGTAATGCCACCTCTGAAACCAATCTTTGCTCTGTACATCCCTCTTGGGGACATTCTCTGAAACAGAAACTCCTTAGTAACTCATTTCTTGAGCTCGTTAATCAAGTGCATGAAGAAGAAATGTCCCAATCCCGTGATCAGCGGGGTCCACTAGCAGTTTTGCTAGAGACAGTTTCTGTTTTCCAGATTAACTCACTAATAAGCAGCTATAAGAACAGCAATAATTTCCCCTTCCAGCACCAGTCACAAAGACAGGCACTCCAGTTTTAGGCCAACAAAGCTGTCTAAAGTGTCAGATGCCTTCCCTGCAATTACCCACAGTACACAACAAGAATCTAAGGAATCTGTGCATTATTGCATTACTGCATCACAGGACTTTTATTTTGGGGGAGGACAAACTAACTTTCCATTATAAAACTGTAGTAGAGCAGCTGTGTGACTTGAATGATTTGGTCTGCCTTTGGCTTTTTTGTGTCACATTTGTGGGCTCTGGCTGTGTCTGGGATGTGGCCAGTGGTTCTGAAGATGTGAGGGAGGGAGGTAAGAGCCCAGAGTGGCTGTTTGTGTCTGCATCCCCTCAGCCGATCCAGGTCAGGCCAAATGCATTGCCAACCACATCTGCCGCTTGGATGTGGCTAGCCCCTTGATGCCTGTAAACTCAGTTTAGCACCTGCATGCTGGATTCAGAGCAATGCAAGCTCAGGTCCCTTAAAAAAAAAACCAAACCATAGTCCAGCAAAGGCAGTAACAGCTTTCCTAGCAGGGATTCCAGAACAGCTCTCGTGTCCCACATCTGGACAAAGGGAAAGGACTAGGAGACAGTTGTGCCAACACTTTGCCTGACTGCACCGCGGTTGTGGCTGTGCCAACTTCTTCTCCATTAGGATCCAAACTGACTCCAAGCCTGCTGCTGAGCAGGCTGAATGACAAATAACCTTCTGTGGCCTAGAAAAATTCACTGAACTCTAGTGGCAGGAGGCTGCACATATTTCGAACGTGTGCAGTAATAAAAATTACAAAATTCAATGTATTATTGTGAGGCGAATGTAGCAAAATCTCCCCCAGATGGTAAATCCACTGAGGTTCCTACTTCCTCACTCTGTGTCACATACGAATTTCAAAGCATCTGAAATAAAAACATATATTTAAAATGGCTTTTCATTTCCTTGTTGGTTTCACAGTCTGTGAGGGGAAAAAATAGCCAATTACTGACCATCCTGGAAGAGTTACTCAAATTAGATGCTCAGTTACCCAAAACAGATGCTCTGCTTCTGCTTTGCTTGGAAATCCTAAAGAAAAGTGATAACAAAATTTCCTCCCTATTTTAAAGTTATCAGAGCCAGTGGACTTTGCACAAAGGATAATGAATTCTGAATTACACACCCGCTGTGGTTCCAATCATACACAATATTGCACAGAAAACTTATTAGGATCCTGAGATACTGGATCTGGATAAGATGTTTGAAATATGGCCTTCCCCTAGAATTCCTGCCAGAGGTTAGCTCTTTAAGAAGACTTAAAGATGCTGCTGCTTTCCCAAGTCTTGAGAGACGCCTATTGCTCCCATTGCTTCTCTCTTGATACGTGCTGCCCAGATGGCCTTTCGGGAGCAGGGTTTCCCACTGAACACAATGCAGAGGCAAGCACCGTTGCTAATGTGGTTTGTAGTCAGGCACACTTCCTTTGTGCCAGAAATGAATATAGTTAAGAAATGGTGTGGGAAACTCAGAGGTACACAAACTTCCATAGCCTTATGTTAGTAAGTCATTTAGAAAGCTAAAACGCTTGGGAGCAAGGACAGAGCAATGCTTCTGAATAGAGAATGGGAAAGACAGAAAAATGGAGGAGACTCTGTTAGTGCTGAGTCTTACGGATGATCCCGAGGTGAAAAATAAAATGGGTCCAATCCTAAGGGCTTTACTTGGATCCTCACTGAAGCCAACAGAAACTCCGAACACCAAGAAGGGTGGAGCAGACTGCTAGATTTGGCCTGCAGCTTTTGTGCCTCCAGAGCTATTACCTGATCTCCAGTAAACTGGTGTAAATACAAACTATTCTACACCTAGTGGAATTTATCAAAGTCCTAATCAGCAAAATTTGAGCCTGAATGTTTAAATTTCAGCAAAAGGCAATTCAGATTAACATGCCAGGACAATTAAGGGTTGGAGGAGCTTCTGTATCTGTTCACAACAGTTTGCATAAGCTTTCGAGCAGCTTGACTAATATCAAGGGTCTGTATTACCCAAGACATATTAAACAGATCTGGGGAATTAAAGAGGCAAGCAGAATATGCAGCTTAGAAGTCTTAGTGTGGACTGAAACCACCTCTGCCACCTTCAGTGGGACAATTTTCTTTGGCCTTACTGGTGGCTGAGCAAGATCCTTTTCCTGCAGCTCCTTTTCCCTGTCCTTCTAGCCCTTCCTCACTCTGCTGCTTGGAAGTCTTCTGTTTGTGTCTGGCATGATTTCTGTTTTCCTGCATTGCTTCTTTCACTTTTTTCCTTTTACTCAGTAGTTATTTTCCCTTCATGCAGTTTTTATAATCTGATTTTTCATTCTGCCACTCTTTTTCCCCTCTGTCTGTCACAGGCAGATGTGGCTTGAGGACAGGAGTGTCTTATGGACCCGCAAACTGTGTGAGTTTGGAGTTCCTTCCAGTTTCCCACACTGCTCTCCTATTCACTGCATTCAGGCAGAGGATAAAGGAAGTGTGCCATGCTACAAGCTGAATTAGAAATGGTGTTTGACTTCCCTTTGTATTTCACAGAAACCTTGCTCTGTGTAGACCATCTGCATAGCACTCGCTGTGGAGAAAGCCATTGATCAATGCCTGTCAACCCAGCTGGGGGAACTTGGGAAAGTAATTTCTTGTGCCACTTCAGTTCTTTAGGGCTTAACATCTGGCTGGAGGGGGAGGCGACAGTTGATGGTTTAACAGTCTTGCTCCCTTTCAAGTTTGGGATGCTGTTTTGATCCCCGATAAGCCTTTCTGAAATCCTGATTTTAATAACATGGAAAGCATCCAGAAGACTAGGAATAATGCACTGGCTTTGCATTTTCAAAGTGCTTTACAAATACCACCTAATGAATTCTCAGCAACCTCCGCTGTGAGATAAGGATGTATTATTAGCAATGTTTTACAATGGAAGAAAAATGAGGCAGACAGAAGAAATCCAAAATTTCAATATTTCAAATAGCCTAC